CTAGTTCAGTTCTAGTTCAGTTCTAGTTCAGTTCTAGTTCAGTTCTAGTTCAGTTCTAGTTCAGTTCTAGTTCAGTTCTAGTTCAGTTCTAGTTCAGTTCTAGTTCAGTTCTAGTTCAGTTCTAGTTCAGTTCTAGTTCAGTTCTAGTTCAGTTCTAGTTCAGTTCTAGTTCAGTTCTAGTTCAGTTCTAGTTCAGTTCTAGTTCAGTTCTAGTTTAGTTCTAGTTCAGTTCTAGTTCAGTTCTAGTTCAGTTCTAGTTCAGTTTTAGTTCAGTTCTAGTTCACTGGGTAACAGGGAATCCCTCCTGTTACCCAGTGATTTCCTAGACAGATCTCAGCTCTCGTAGAGGACAGCGGTCCTCAAACGATTCAACCAGGACAAGCTCATATAAAACTTGAACTTAAATTTCGCTAGGAAATATCATAAAGATCGGTTCCATAACTGATTGTATATCTAACTGTTCTACCAATAAAAAACTTTTTAAAACTTATATAATTATTAAATTTGCCGACGGCTTTTATGAAAAACTTTGATTATTCAAATTCAATTAAATATTAAAGCTGTTATATAAACCAAAAAAAAATCATTAATAGATTAAAAATAAAATTTATTTTATACCTACACATTTATTTTTCATACATTTTAATAAAACAAAAGACAATTATAATAAAATAAATCAATTATAAACATGTTTAGTTTGTTTTGTTTTTTATGACCAAAAAGTATGATTATTTTCGTTAAAAAACTGTATATTGTATATAAATATAATAAAGTACTTCATTAAAAAGCAACTTTTATATATAAATGTGTTTGTGTATATATAAGCACACAAATATATATACCAACATACTAGAACAAAAAAAAAAAAACATATTATATTACATACGAGACAAAGAAGTCGGGAGAAAAAAATACCATTGACTGCCACTCAATATTTATTACATTTTAAACAAATAAACACAAAACATACAGAAGATGAGAAGAAGAGTCGAGTAGAGTTGAAAAAGACAGCTTGAAAAAAAAAAACAGAAAAAAATCTTGAAAACACCTCCTTTTTTAACGGCTTACAGCTATACACTACCACACTTACACATACAAAACCCCATTTATACAATAAAGACAATTTTTACCTCTTTTATTTCCTTTTTAGTTGTTGTCCTGTAGAGTGAGAATTGTAGAGTATCTCTAACTATCTACTCTCATGTAGTTGCTGTATTAAAACATGAGTGGGTATTATAACCGTACATTAGTGCATTTTAATGACGTACATAATAAAAATCACATTCGTTGTTTTTTTTTCAAGAGTTTTTTCCTTCATGTTGTTGATATTTCTGTTGTTGTTGTTTTTATTGCATTGTTGTTTGTACCAATTCCATAAAATTCCAATATCACAGATGGGTCTATTATAGAGAATATTTAACATCAGTTAGTTGTTACCAAAGAGTAATGACAATTTAGTGATTTTTGGTAAAAGGTCTTGTTTTTATAACTTGTTTGGATTTGTTTTTGCTGTTTTGGAGTACATTTTTGAAGATGGGGTTCAGATTAGGACACATTTTACTAGATTAATTTCTAAAAGATTTTATTAATAATTAGAAACTTATTTCGGAATGACGGAAGGCAAGTAGTTCAAAACAGGAAGATGGCACAGGTCAATCTTATACATCTTGCTCAGGTTTTGAAAATTAACATTTGGATGAGCGTCACACAGCGTAGCTGCTCCACACAAGTTAGTATTTCTAGTTCTTTTCTATTTATGTTCTAGTTCAGTTCTAGTTCAGTTCTAGTTCAGTTCTAGTACAGTTCTAGTTCAGTTCTAGTTCAGTTCTAGTTCAGTTCTAGTTCAGTTCTAGTTCAGTTCTAGTTCAGTTCTAGTTCAGTTCTAGTTCAGTTCTAGTTCAGTTCTAGTTCAGTTCTAGTTCAGTTCTAGTTCAGTTCTAGTTCAGTTCTAGTTCAGTTCTAGTTCAGTTCTAGTTCAGTGTTAGTTCAGTTCTAGTTCAGTTCTAGTTAAGTTATATATCTGTTTTAGTACTATTCTAGTCCTGTGCTAGTTCTGTTCTAGTTCAGTTCTAGTTCTGTTCTAGTTCTGTTCTAGTTCTGTTCTAGTTCTGTTCTAGTTCTGTTCTGTTCTAGTTCTGTTCTAGTTCTGTTCTAGTTCTGTTCTAGTTCTGTTCTAGTTCTGTTCTAGTTCTGTTCTAGTTCTAGTTCTGTTCTAGTTCTAGTTCTAGTTCTGTTCTAGTTCTGTTCTAGTTCTGTTCTAGTTTTGTTCTAGTTCTGTTCTGTTCTAGTTCTGTTCTAGTTATGTTCTAGTTCTGTTCTAGTTCTGTTCTAGTTATGTTCTAGTTCTGTTCCAGTTCTGTTCTAGTTCTGTTCTAGTTCTGTTCTAGTTCTGTTCTAGTTGAGTTCTAGTTCTAGATCTGTTCTAGTTCTGTTCCAGTTCTGTTCTAGTTCTGTTATGTTCTAGTTCTGTTCTAGTTCTGTTCTAATTCTAGTTTTGTTTTAGTTCTATTATAGTTCAGTTCTAGTTCAGTTCTAGTTCAGTTCTAGTTCAGTGTTAGTTCAGTTCTAGTTCAGTTCTAGTTAAGTTATATATCTGTTTTAGTACTATTCTAGTCCTGTGCTAGTTCTGTTCTAGTTCAGTTCTAGTTCTGTTCTAGTTCTGTTCTAGTTCTGTTCTAGTTCTGTTCTAGTTCTGTTCTAGTTCTGTTCTAGTTCTGTTCTAGTTCTGTTCTGTTCTAGTTCTGTTCTAGTTCTGTTCTAGTTCTGTTCTAGTTCTGTTCTAGTTCTGTTCTAGTTCTGTTCTAGTTCTGTTCTAGTTCTGTTCTAGTTCTGTTCTAGTTCTGTTCTAGTTCTGTTCAGTTCTGTTCTAGTTCTGTTCTAGTTCTGTTCTAGTTCTGTTCTAGTTCTGTTCTAGTTCTAGTTCTGTTCTAGTTCTGTTCTAGTTCTGTTCTAGTTCTGTTCTAGTTCTGTTCTAGTTCTGTTCTAGTTCTGTTCTAGTTCTGTTCTAGTTCTGTTCTAGTTCTGTTCTAGTTCTGTTCTAGTTCTGTTCTAGTTCTGTTCTAGTTCTGTTCTAGTTCTGTTCTAGTTCTGTTCTAGTTCTGTTCTAGTTCTGTTCTAGTTCTGTTCTAGTTCTGTTCTAGTTCTGTTCTAGTTCTGTTCTAGTTCTGTTCTAGTTCTGTTCTAGTTCTGTTCTAGTTCTGTTCTAGTTCTGTTCTAGTTCTGTTCTAGTTCTGTTCTAGTTCTGTTCTAGTTCTGTTCTAGTTCTGTTCTAGTTCTGTTCTAGTTCTGTTCTAGTTCTGTTCTAATTCTGTTCTAATTCTGTTCTAGTTCTGTTCTAGTTCTGTTCTAGTTCTGTTCTAGTTCTGTTCTAGTTCTGTTCTAGTTCTGTTCTGTTCTAGTTCTGTTCTAGTTCTGCTCTAGTTCTGTTCTAGTTCTGTTCTAGTTCTGTTCTAGTTCTGTTCTAGTTCTGTTCTAGTTCTGTTCTAGTTCTGTTCTGTTCTAGTTCTGTTCTAGTTCGGTTCTACTTCAGTTCTAGTTCTGTTCTAGATCTGTTCTAGTTGTGTTCTAGTTCTGTTCTAGTGCTAGTTCTGTTCTAGTTCTAGTTCAGTTCTAGTTCTGTTCTAGTTCAGTTCTAGTTCTGTTCTAGTTCGGTTCTAGTTCAGTTCTAGTTCTGTTCTAGTTCTGTTCTAGATCTGTTCTAGTTCTGTTCTAGTTCTGTTCCAGTTCTGTTCCAGTTCTGTTCCAGTTCTGTTCTGTTCTAGTTCTCTTCTAGTTCTGTTCTAGTTCAGTTCTAGTTCTGTTCTAGTTCTGTTCTATTTCTGTTCTAGTTCTGTTCTAGTTCTGTTTTAGTTCCGAAGTTCTGAAATTGAAGTGAAGAAGACATTTTGCCTAATAAAGCCAAAATACTTATTAGCGATTTTGTTTACAATTTGCAACGCTTTTTAACTAGATATTGACATCTCAGCTTATGTCATGTACTGGAGTAGTCTGTGTAGTAGTTGTTGAAAAAAGAATAACAGAGATTTTATAAAGACAATCAGATTAAATTTATTTTCAGACTCTTTTATTTTTGTTTTTGTTCTTTTAGTTACTAGTCTTCTTCTAACTCCAATATACGAACATACATATACCTTGATTTACTAAGTGCAATAATAGAGTAAAAACATCAACAAATATTAGACGTCTCGTTTTAACCTTTGTGATACATCACAAAAGACAAGTAACACGACACGACATACACACACACAGAGAGTATGCGAACAAAAGAACGAGAGAACAACAAGAGTTTAAACTCAGTTTAATAAATTGAAATCAATTGAGCATGATTTTTAAACCGGATTTCCTACAAATGCAAACATGAATGTATGTATGTATATGTGAGTGATTTTTGTTTTTAATGGCAAATTGAAACGCCTGTCATGTTTTCTACTCACATCTTCTTCTCCTCTTATTGTTACTGCATGTAAAGTTAGCGGTGGTTGTTTTGTGTGTTTGTGTTTTTAACACATTTTGAAAGACTTGTATGGAAAATAATTTTATTTTGGCTTCATTTGCCACATTGTAGTTGATGGTCCGGCTAGTAGAGAACTCACTCACTCAGTTAAACCCGAGAAAACTCGTTCGCATAGAAAATTCAATTACTATTTCGAAATCATTCTGTAGTTATAGGCCTAAACAAACGGACGGTTTAAACGGATTTATACATGAAAAACGAAAGAAATTAAAAAAAGAAAAATAAACAAAATTTTAAAAAAAGTTAAAAAGAGAAAATATAAGGAAAATAATAAAGAAAAGAATTAAATACAGTGCATTAAAGAAGAATTAAAAAAGAAAATTTAAAACAAAAGATTTATCTAAAAAAAATTATTAAAGTGTTAATAAAAGTATTGAAATTTAGAGAAAATTTAAAAAAAAAATACAATTATAAAAATATTAAGAAATTTTATAAAAGTGCGAAAAATCTACAAAAAAGTTTAAATAAAAAGAAAAATTTTAAATATATTTGTTTAAAAAAGTTCAACCTGGGTAGTCCATATATAAATCATATGCCCACGGGCTCGGAAAGCCCGCTTGCTTTAGCTAACGATATCGCTTCTACTACACAAATTGCTTCACCTTTATCTTCCGGCTCTTCAAAAGCAGCAACAGCTAATAAACCATTTCATTTATCACAAAATTCCGCTTTTAATTTAGCCTTACGCACCTCAACAACATTTAACGCTTTTCAAGCTGCCGTAGCCGCCGGTATTAACGGTTTTTCATCGCCTTTACAAACGCCGCCGGTACAATCACCTCTTAGTTTATATACACGTTTCAGCGAACGTTGTGAAGAAAGTTCGGATTATAGTTCCATTTCGGCCATTAACAATAATACGGATAACGATAACATGGATTTGATAAATCCCTATATGAGACATCATACATTTGCTGCGGCAGCGGCACAACAAAATAATACAGCGTCAGTAAATTTACTTAATCGCAGTCCGCCTCTGCATCATCATCAGAATCATATAGGTAATGGGTTTCCAGATCCCTCACAAATGGATTATCAAAATCAATTATTGGATTATCATAGTGCGGCCGCAGCAGCAGCCTATGCGGCCAACAATAACAATCATTTAACGGGACCCTTAATGCTTTTGAAAAATAACAATAATAACAATAATATGGATAAAATGAATTCTGTTTGCAAATCGCCTAGATCGGTAGATGACTCCTCTACACCGCCACCTTTACTCTCGAGTCATGAGAATAATAATACAAATATTTCACAAACCTCATCCCGCCTACAGTCTGAATCACCCGATAATTGTCATAGTACTTTAAATCAAAGATCACGCTATGACAATAATTCTAGTCCCGGTGTAGATAGTTCAAAATCATTTTCCGTTAGCCAGCGTTCTAGTGAAGAAGCCGGCAATAATAGTGAATCAAGTCCTCCGCCCTCTGACTATAGTCCCGAAAATCTTTCAAGTCGTAAATTTACTTCTTCCAATACGGGCCATCCATTGGGTATACACAACAATAATAATATAGGTTTGGATCATAAATTACCTTTGAGTTTCTTGGGTCCTCCCCTGGCGGCCTTACATTCCATGACCGAAATGAAAACTGGTAATGGGTCGGGTAATGCAGCTTTAAATGGTTCTTATGGTGGTCAACAAAATTCCCATATGATTGGTGAGAATCGTTCGAATTCTTCTTCGGGTTCAAATGCGTGCACGACTAATACACAAACACAGGGCACCGCAAATCCTCATGGTATTGATACGATTTTATCGAAACCACCACCAGTTACATCGGCGGGATTAAGTGCTTTAACGGGAGGTAAGTTAAGATGAGAAATATACTAGAACTGACAACAATTTTTGGTATCACAAAGTGATCGAAATTTCTTTACAACTAAATAAAAATATCAGTTGCTATCAAATGGCGTAATTTGGTCTTATTTGGTGGATATAGAAAAAATAGGTTAATTGTTTTGTGTGTAATAGGATTTAGTTCAATCTAAATTATATTTAAGATTCGATTACGTTTAACACCCACATTTTTCCCATCTCATTAAAAACTGTCTGGCCTTAATTAAACTTCTTATTATTGTTATTAATTAAATGAAATAAAAATTATTTAATACTTTTTAACAATATCTCATACAAATAACGCCAGACATCTAATTGAAGGTCTATAAAATAATCATAGCTTTTTTTTTTGTCAAAACCAATTTGTGACAGTCATCATTTAGACACATTTTACCTTTAAATAAGTACGACAATTATATACCAAAATGCCGAAGTGTCAATCATTTGTCATATAGAGTAATTATGATTTGTATTTAGCTGCCAAATTAAATACCAGAACTAATTGTCATTAAATACATAAAAAAAATTCAAAGCGAAAAATAAGCGTAAATGTCAAATACATAAAATTTTAAGAAAATTAGAGAAAAAGAGTGAGCATTGTTGTTTTGAAAACCATGACAGATGTAGATATTTTGTATAGAAATTCGTATAAAAGACATTTAAATGTCAATAATTATGTTTAAATCATTTTAGTAATATTATAAAATTTTCCATAATATTGACACTTAATATTATTGTTAATAATTTTTAATAGAATTAAATTATAAAATAACTATAAATAAATATTAATATAAAAGAAATTATGTCAAATTTAATAGTTTTTTATTAAAAATAATATTAAATAATTAAACATTTTATAAGTTCCGTATATTTTGTTGTGAGAGAGAGAGAGAGAATGAAACAACAAAAACCGGTCACATGTCACAATATCCGACGACACTGTAACACTTTTAAAACAGAAATGTATGAAAATGTTCAATAAGGTTTTCAGAAGAATGCACTCTTTTTCGAAAGAGAATTGAGACTGATTACACCCATTTTCTATTAGAAACTTTAGCATTGTTTGCAATTTTTAATCACATTCGAGTCATTTATGACTCTTCTGCACGATTAAAATGCTCTTATTTTCTGATCATAAATGTATCATTCGTCTGGAGGAAAGTGTAACCTATCCGCGACTATTCTAAAAGATTAATTTATGAGCACTTCATTTAAACAGTTTCAACTCATTTTTATATCTATTTTGAGTCGAAATACTGGTCGTTATAGGGTCATTTTCGATCCATATTTAAGTAATTTTTAAGCCTTTTCTGAGTCATTTTTATTCTTGTTACAAACAACCCAGTTAGCATTTTTTAAAATTTTTGATCACATTCGAGTCATTTATGACTCTTATTCACGATTAAAATGGTCACATATGCTCTGATTCTGATCATAAATGATACATTCGTCGGGAGAAAATGACACTCTATCCGCAACTCTTCTAAAAGTGTCATTTATGAGCACTTCATTTGAACAGTTCCAATTCTATTTTATATCTATTTTGAGCCTTTTCTGAGTCATTTTTATTGTTGAGAAGAGATTTTCTAAAAGAGGGATTATATGGAGACAGGGGGTTAATATGGTCCTATTCTTATAAATTTTGGTAGAGGGCTCTACGTCTGCATTAGTTATATATGCAGAATATCATCGTGATATTAGTGTTTATAAGTGAATTTTGACCATTAAGTCTGAAGGGGACTTGGTATGGGGGATAGGGTCAAATGAGGCCCGATCATTACGAAAATCAGCTATATCATTAAGACTTATATAAAACTAAGTTTTATCGATTTTTAGAGTAATACAAGAACATTTAACATATTTATGAGCCCAAAAGCCCTATTCGGGTGGTACGGTTGTATGGGGCTATACTAAATAATGGACCGATTTTAATAATTTTCAATAGGCTTCGTTCTTGGGTCAAAAGAAGTGTATGTGCCAAATTTCATCTGATGATTTTGAAAATTGCGAGCTGTAGAGTGCGCACAAGGTTTAGATAGACAGACAGACGGATGGACAGCTAAAAAGACTCAAAAAGTGATATAATGAACAGATTTTAACTGTTTTCAACAGGCTTCGTTCCTGGGTCAAAAGAAGAGTATGTGCTAAATTTCCTCTGATTATCTTGAAAATTGCGACCTTTAGAGTGCGCACAAGGTTTACATAAACAGACAGATAGACGGACAGACAGAAGGACTCAGAAAGTGACTCTGAACCGAATGGTATACTTTAAGGTGGGTGTTACAAACATCAGTAGAAACGTATAATTCCCTCCCAACTATAGTGATGTATGGTATAAACATGAAAGTTATTGCTCATCTACAAAATTCCTCATTTAAAACATTCCTTGACAGACAACTAAAGCTTTACATTACCCAAATCATATAAGATATTACTAGTTCCAATATATATATGAGAGAAACAGATTCTTTAATATAAACTCTATATATTTCAATCAAAATTAATCATTTCCATTTCTCCTTTTCCCTCTCACATTCCAGGCGGCATACCACGATTTTCCATAGCGGCAGCAGCAGCGGGCATGGCCCAATATTTGTCACAAAATCAAGGTACCCCCTTAAAAACACATGCCGGTCATATGGTTGATCGCACACATTTATATTGGCCCGGACTGCAAGGTCTGGTGGCAAATCCAATGGCGTGGCGAGAACGTTTATCAAATACAAGTAAGTTTTACAAAACAAAAAAAAGTTCAATTCATTAAAAGATTTTTATTGACTTTAAAATTAGTTCCAACTCATTAATTAATGTTGAAGTTAATTTAATAAGAAACCTAAATTAATCCATTCCATGGAGTATTTATATCAACTTGATGACATAAAGATGATTTGTCAGAAAAAAATAATCTTTATTATATGGGGCGGACACACCTTGTAGAGGACTTCTGCGTCTTTTAAACTCTGCTGGTATGTTTTCTTTGTAACAATATGAAAGTGATGATTCCGCTGTTTCTTTTGATTTGCTAATGATCATGATCAAGCGATTATTGATCAGACTTATATTTTTACGTCTTATAAGACAGAGTTTCTTAAACTATTAACCAAGGAAATGTGTTTAAAACTGTTGTTTAAGAAACTCTTTTAAAGATCTTCTTAACATTTAACATACTCTGCCCAAATGATCTGAGTTTGAATGATCTTGTAAATGATTTTGATTTTGTTTTTTTTTTTGCCTTAAGCTGATGAGCTGTTGCTAATGTGATCAGTGTAAAATTTCCTTATTTTTTTTCTCTCTCCCATCTCTCCCTAACGATGAGTTCCGATCAATGTTAAACTCATTAAATTTTAATAAAAGAAATGAAAATTAAACCTCATCTGATGGTTTCTTCATCAAGTGTTTAATGTCTTTAAAAAAGATAATACCCCCAAAGACACAGATGCATCCGTGATGAACAATGAAAAAAAAAATATATGAAATATTAATTTACTTTATTATTGTTGTGTTTGTAGGAACTGATCTCGTTGTTATTGATCCCAAATGTGAAGTATGTAGTTTATTGTCAATGAACCAGTTGGTTTCATGTTTAGTTCATTAAATTTTTATTAAAACATGTGAACAGAGAGAGCGAGATCTGCTTTAAAGTCAGATTTTTTTGCAAGTCACTGCAATTGTGTTTTGTTTTCTTTTAAGAAATTGATTGTTGGAGTCCAGAAGATGTGTCTTGGTTAAGCTCATTAAATAATCACTTGTGATCATGTTTTTCTTTTTCCAAATATTTGTTTATTTTTATAAATTAAGTGTGTCTATGAATTTTGAGTTATAAAATTAATTATATCGAGGGAAGATGGTACGAAATACTAACAGAATAATGCCTTGTTTTTATTACGAATATATCGGGGGCCTTCAGAAAATTTCAATAAATGTATAGACAGACGGACATTAGAAGTAATTTATGTTATTCGGAACCTTAAGTCTATCACTGGAACCTGTCAGGAATATTGAGGAAATCATTGTTATTGCAGATCTGGTTGTAAGTAGGTTATGATGATCTTTTTTTGGCGGGATTTACCCAGTTTTGACGGTTTCTGTTCGTTTAGTAGATGTATGCTGAAGTTAGTGTCCCTATAGGAAGGAAACAAATCTTGACTTCTTGGAGTTGGTTGTTGGATTATGATGACCTTTGTTTTATCAATATTTGCCTCTTTCTTATCTGGGTATAAGGGATTACTCTGTTCATACCTGACCTATGGGAATGAGATAAATCTTGTCTTCTTGATGGAGTTCATGCCTCGGTCTTATATATATGTATCTAAGTACTAGTGTCGAATCAACAACGTTATCTAAGTAGAGTATCAGCGCGATCTTAAGAAGTTGAGAAATGCTTACGAATTGAGTTGTTGTTGTAATAGTTCGTTTGTTGCCGATAGTTCTTTTCTGAAATAGATAAATAATGTCTTCTCGATGGAGTTCATGCCTCGGACTAATAAATATCTCTCTAAGTGCTATTGTTGAATCAACAGCGTCATCTCAAACTATAGCTGCGCGGTCTTCAGAAGTTAAGAAATGCTTGAGAATTGAGTTGTTGTAACAGTTCGTCTGATGTCGATAGTTCTTTTCTTCAAAAAAAACGTTCGGTTGGTACAGAAGTCGATGTGTTGACTATCTCAGGTCGTTCCGAAGTAAAGATCCGAGGATTGTTTGAACGTAGAGTTCCTTAGTTGTTGTTGAAGTTGATGGGCGTTCTGCTTCTGTTGTATGACAGTTGTATAGTGACTTACTGATAGCATGTTGCTCTCAAGGTAATGAGCACTATTGACGCATTGTCTGTCATTGCACAGCGTGACTGTAATGAAAAAAGATTCGATAGCTCAGAAATATGTTCTCTCCTCGCAAAGTTGACGAGTTTATATTAGTAATTTGAACCGATTTTTGACATTTATTACCGCAGCAGATTCAATTCATATTGTACTGAAGCAAAATACTTGTTTACAATCCGGCATGTAGGACTCAAGGTGGTCCGCACTATTGACATGAATAGCTGGCATTTCTTCTTCTTTTACTCGCATTGCCTGTCATTAAACAGTGGGACCGCAATGACAAAAGATCCGATAGCTTGAGTGAATGAGCAAAGTGCTTGCTTATGATCACACAGAATTATGTTGTCTAGTCTTTGGAGTGAAGAGATAAGACCTGGCAAAGTGGACAGGTTCATATTAGTAATTTGAACCGATTTTCGACTTTCATGCCGCAGCGAGATTACCATGGCAACAGATTCGATTCATAGAGTACCAATATATTTGTTTAAAATCCTTCGGAATCGTGTTCCGAAATTGCCACCCGATCTGAGAGATAAGACCACCAAGACATGCTTATGATCCGTGCGGAATCGTATTCCAAATCTGTCATCTGACCTGGGAGATAAGGTCGTCAAGACAAGTACCCACGTTAGGCAACTGATATTAACTCGAAGGTGAAGAGTTGATAACATTCACCGAATTTCGACTTTTATATCCATTCGAAAAACAAATCTATAAAGCTTACATGTGGGTTTTAAACATTGTCACCGATCCGCACTTCTTATGGTTATAATATCATAAGCTTTTGAGCTTAATTTCGTGTCAGTTGGTGGATTAGTCTGTAGACTAGTTCGTGAACTAATCTATAGATTATTTCATGAACTAATCTATAGACTATATTAAAAACTAGCATATAGACTATATCACGATCTAATCTATAGACTAGACTATAGGCTAGTTCGTGATGTAGTCTATAGACCAGTTCCTGATCTAGTCTATAGACTAGTTCGTGATCTAGTCTATAGATTAGTTCGTGATATAGTCTATATGCTAGTTTTTAATGTAGTCTATAGACTAGTTCGTGATCTAGTCTATAGATTAGTTCGTGATATAGTCTAAAGAATAATTCGTGTTTTAGTCTATAGACTAGTTCGTGTTCTAGTCTAGACTATAGTCTATAGACTGGTTCGTGATATAGTCTATAGATTAGTTCGTGATATAGTCTATATGCTAGTTTTTAATGTAGTCTGTAGACTAGTTCGTGATCTAGTCTATAGATTAGTTCGTGATATAGTCTAAAGAATAATTCGTGTTTTAGTCTATAGACTAGTTCGTGATATAGTCTAAAGAATAATTCGTGTTTTAGTCTATAGACTAGTTCGTGTTCTAGTCTAGACTATAGTCTATAGACTGGTTCGTGATATAGTCTATAGATTAGTTCGTGATATAGTATATATACTAGTTTTTAATGTTATATAGACTAGTTCGTTAGCTTTTAATGTAGTCTATAGACTAGTTCGTGATCTAGTCTATAGATTAGTTCGTGATATAGTCTAAAGAATAATTCGTGTTTTAGTCTATAGACTAGTTCGTGTTCTAGTCTAGACTATAGTCTGTGTACTACCTATAGATTAGTTCATGATATAGTCTATATGCTAGTTTTTAATGTAGTCTATAGACTAGTTCGTGATCTAGTCTATATATTAGTTCGTGATATAGTCTATAGAATAATTCGTGTTTTAGTATATAGACTAGTTCGTGATCTAGTTTATTCACCAGTTGGTGGATTAGTCTGTAGACTAATCCATAGATTAGTTCATGAACTAATCTATAGACCAGTTCGTGGTCTAGTCTATAGACTAGTTCGTGTTCTAGTCTATAGGCTAGTTCGTGATGTAGTCTATAGACTAATTCGTGATCTTTTCATGGACTAGTTCGTGTTCTAGTCTATAGGCTAGTTCGAGATCTAGTCTATAGACATGGTCAGTTCTATAGTGTAGTTCGTGATCTAGTCTACAGCCCAGTTCTAATTACTGATCTACCCAATAGACTAGTTTGTGATTTTGAGCTTAATTTCCCGTCAGTGAAAGCTTTTTTATGAAAACTGATTAATATTTTGTATTGTAAAAGACCAACTAAGGTTTATTTTAAAACAAAATGGCGTCCACTTTAAATAGTTATCTCCACCAAAATTTAATTACCAAAACTATTAATGACTTTTTTTTATTAATTTCCTCTTAAGTTTGTTTCCATTTTGAAACCACAAAAAATGCCATAAAATTTAAGGTGGCTGATTTAAAATCAAACTAAAACAAATAAACTTAAATGACAAATTAGATTCTTGTTTGTTTTCTACGTTTTATTTTATTACAACTATTATGGCTACAGAATTTATTACCAATTTTGAGAGATTTTATCAAATCATAAAGTTATAAAATTTAAATTTTTCCTCAAAAAAACACAAATAAATTTAACATATTTCTTATAGCAAGAAGATTATCATCTTTTTCACATAATTTTCAAAACAAAACAACTGCTGTTGTTTGTGTGTTTAAGAAATTTCCCCGTGTAAGGAACATATTTATATTAAAATAAAATAACGCTCAAACCATATATGATTATAGGTTTTCGGAAAATAAATAATAATATGAGACATACCTAGACACCTCACACTTTTTGAACATTTAAAGTTTCTTGTGATTTTTTGACGTTACAAAGTTTAAAAAGAAACCACCAAATGTTTCTTTTATATAAATATGTCTAGCTAAAAGGAAAAACTAAATAAACTTGCTTAAAGTGATAGACAACAACAAAAGTTTTCCCAAAAAATTTAAAAAAAAATATCTAGATCTTTGTAACAAAAAAATATATAAAAAAATATGTTGCCACATTATTATGTGTAGCATAGAAACAACATTCTCTCTCTCTTA